CACCATGGTAGGGACTGTGACGTCACAAGGAGGCGCCCTCGGGGAGAGCGCGCGGGTCGGTCGGTTGCGGTCGGGGTGGGGGTCCCGGCCGTGTCCGGGGTTCCCTCCGCCCTTAGTTCCTGCACCTCAAGTTCCCCGAGAAGACATCTGGGAGCACAGGGCTTTTTTCCCTTTTAAGGGAAAATTTAAGAGCCCCCGGGGGAAGGGAGTCAGACCTCAAGGAGCGGGTCCTCGACGGAGCCCAGGCTCCTGGGGGGCGCGGGGACAGGGCCCCGGGGCGGTGGCGGACTGGGCGAGCCGGGAGCCCGGGCGCCGGGTCGGTGCAGAAATCAGATCAGAGCACAGCAGGCACCAAAGCTCTTCCACTCCTTCTTCAAGTCCCTTGTGGGCAAGGATGTGGTCGTGGAACTCAAGAATGACCTGAGGTAGGTTCCTGTTTCAGCAGGTCTGTAGGGGGTGGATGTGCCCAGAGCCCTGAGACCTATTTATTTATAAATATATTTTATTGATTTCAGAGAGGAAGGAAGAGGGAGAGATAGGAACATCAATGACAAGAGAGAATCATTGATCGGCTGCCTCCTGCACGCCCCCCACTGGCGATGAAGCCTGCAACCCAGGCCTGTGCCCTGACGGGGAATTGAACCATGACCTCCTGGTTCATAAGTCAGTGCTCAACCACTGAGCCCCACGGGCTGGCCCTGAAACCTCTTTAATTGAACAAGCGTTATTTGAGGGCTGGGTAAGGTGGGAGAGAGAAAGAAAGAAATGACTTGTGCCTTAAGCTGACAGATTAGCCTTGGAGTTGTTTCTTGCATTTGAAAAAAAAAAAAAACACAAAAAAACAAAGAAATACATATACTATATATAGTTAGAACAGAGGTCAGGGAGTGAAGGCATCACCATTTTTTCTGATTAAATTATATACTCCTTTGACCCAACTTCTAGAAATGTAACAGTTCCACAAGCAAAGATGTAGGTACAAAGACGTTTGTAAGTTTTCTTTGCAGTAACCAAAAATGGAAAACAAACAGCTGTCAATAGGGACTGGGTTAAACTGTGGGCTTCCATGTTCCACAGCGGTCACACCAGAATGACATGTTGATGTGGAAAGTTGTTGCAAGACAGTGTACGTGGCATAATCTCCCCTTTGCTAAAGAAAATGTGAAGGGTAAACAGGAGACCAGTGCCTTCTATCTGTATTGCTTTTCCAACCCTTACCCCTTATATCGTAACTCCCACTCATCCTTCAGAATTTGGGATTCAGTGCTGTATCCTTGGACTCTTCCTGGTCTTTCTAGCCAAGTAGGTCCTTCTACCAGAGTCTTATTTTCTTCGTAGTGGGTGCTTCTCAAATTGTGATTTCAGAAAAATATGTTTACTGTTTATGGCAGCCGTGGGCAAACGTGGGCCGCATCCGGCCCGCTTGAAATGAATAAAACTAAAAAAAAAACAAAAAAAACGACCGTACCCTTTTATGTACTGATGTTTACTTTGAATTTATATTAGTTCACACAAACACTCCATCCATGCTTTTGTTCCGGCCCTCTGGTCCAGTTTAAGAACCCATTGTGGCCCTCGAGTCAAAAAGTTTGCCCACCCCTGGTTTATGGCCTGTCCTTCAGGCAGGGCCCAGGACCCCGTTTAAGCTCACCATTGAGCCTGGTATGTAGTAGGAGTAATAAATGTGCAAAAGTAAAGCAGCTAACATTTGAGAGCCTCCTATTGCCTAGGCACTCTTCTGCATACACTTAACTCACTGCATTCTCCTCACACCCCTGTGACATACACCGCTGCTGCGGCTTTACATGTGAGGAGACGGAAGCTTGGATAGGTTAAGAAACTTGCTCAAGTCTATGTAACTAGGAAATGACGGCCAGAACGGAAATCAATTCTGTCTGGATTATCTTTTTTTTTTTTATTAGAGCAAGAGGAAGGGGGAGAGAGACATCAATTTGTTGTTCCACTTATTTATGCATTCATTGGTTGATTCTAGTGTGTGCCCTGTTGGGGGAATCAAACCTGAAACCTTGATGTATCAGGACGGTGATCTACCAACTGAGCTGTCCAGCCAGGGCTTTTAAAAAAAGTTATAAACAGGATCATATTCTCCCTTCAGTTTTGAAACTTGCTTTTCACTTAGCAGATGTGGATATTTCTCATCAGTAAAGGTGATCTTTAACTTTCTTAATGTCTGCATGGCATCTTTATTAACCACAACCTTGCTGTTGGACAGTTAGGCGGTTTCCAATTCTTTAAAAAAATATTTTAAAATAGGTTTTTATTTCCTAGCCAGTTTGGCTCAGTGGATAGAGCGTTGACTCAAGGACTGAAGGGCCCCCAGGCTCGATTCTCGTCAAGGGCATGTACCTCGGTTGTGGGCTCAATTCCCAGCCCTGGTTGGGGCACGTGAGGGAGGCAACCTATTGATGTGTCTCTCTCACATTGATGTTTCTCTCTCTCTTTGTCTTTCCCTTTCTCTTACACCTTCTCTAAAAGTCAATGGAAAAATTTCCTCGGGTGAGGATAAAAAGTGTTTGTATTGATTTTAGAGAGAGAGGAAGGGAGAGGGATGGAGATAAAACATCGATGAAAGAGAAACATCAATATTGGTAGGCTGCCTCTGCACAGCGCCCCCATCTGGGACTGAGACCGAAACCTGGGTATGTGCTCTGACCAGGAATTGAACCCGTGACCTCTTGGTCCACAGATTGACACTCATCCACTGAGCCACACTAGCTGGGTGGTTTCCAATTCTTTAGGGAAAAAATCCTTTAAATAAGACATACGTTTAAAATAGTGATACGGGCACAGGCAGTTTGACTCAGTTGATTGGAGCGTTATCCTCTATGCCAGTGGTCTGCAAACCGCGGCTCGCGAGCCACATGCAGCTCTTTGGCCCCTTGAGTGTAGCCCTTCCACAAAATACCACGTGCGGGAGCACACGTACAGTGCGATTCAAACTTCGTGGCCCATGCGCAGAAGTCGGTTTTCGGCCTGGGCGAGTCTATTTTGAAGAAATGGCGTTAGAAGTGGGGGGGTGTCAGTCGGTCGGGCAACGGGAGACGCAGGGGCTGTGGGATATGCAGCGTGGGGGAGGTACATTGTTTTGAGGTACGTTCTCTGAGGCCCCCCCCTTCCAACTCTCCCATCCACACTCGTCTTATCTGAAACAAGTATACGAGACGAGTGTGGATGGGAGAGGTGGAAGGGGTCGACCTCAGCGAACGTACCTCAATCAGACTGAGGACGTTTTTAGCAAAGGCCAGCTGAGGAGCACCCTAATTAGTTAATAACAATGTACCTGCCTATAGAGTTTAAGTTTAAAAAATGTGGCTCTCAAAAGAAATTTCAATCGTCATACAGTTGATATTTGGCTCTGTTGACTAATGAGTTTGCCGACCACTGGTCTATGCCAAAAGGTTGCAGGTAGGACACCTGCAGGAGGCAGCGTATTGATTGATGTTTCTCTTACTCTCTCCCTCCCTTCCTCTCTAAAAATTAATAAAACCAGCCCTGGCCATTGTTGCTAGGTGGTTAGAGTGTCGACTTATGAACCAGGAGGTCACGGATCAATTCCCAGTCAGGGCACATGTTCAGATTGTGGGGCTTGATCCCCAAGGGGGGGCGGGGGCGGGGCATGCAACTGTGGATGATTCTCATCATTGATGTTTCTCTCTCTTTCTCTTTCTGAAATCTATGAAAATATATCTTTAAAACAAAACCAATGGAGAAAATACCCTCAGGTGAAGATAAAATATAAATCAATAAAAACATATCCTTAGGGAAAGATTTTAAAAACAATAATTTAAAAAGTGATACCTATTACCTGATTGTCCTTTAGAAAGTTTGAATCAATGTATTCTCTCCCAGCAGTGTCTTCCACATTTCTATGAGATAATTGCTTAATGGGAGAAACATTGACATGGCAGAGAGTGGTGAGGAGAGGGACTTCTACATGAGAGATTTCATTTATGATGTGGGCAATGCATATGGTACTGATGGCATTAAGATGAGGGCTGTATAGAGAGAGAGTGTGGAGCCCATACCAACCCTAGGCAATTCTGTGAGATGACTTGTTTTTATTTTCCTCTTTTCTCCACCCTGGGTCTTACACATGGCAGAAAACTTATGTTCTAGCTCCAGGTCCTAAAGCAAGGACTGTAAGATTCAAAGGAATTCCATTGGATTGGGAGAAGAGCTTTCTCTCAGGCTTGTTGTCAGACCACTTTTGTGCCAGATGTCTCGCTCTCAATGAACTGAATGAATAATACCACCTTATATAATTCCTGGAAGTTACTCCAGCGCTGCACATGGTGGTAAAGTGCTGTCAACGGCTGTTCAACAGCCAGGGATGTGGCAAAACCACCACCGAGGCAGTAGGCACTTGGTGGATTTCAAAGACTTAGAATTTTACAAAAATAGGGTCCAGCAGAGAACTGCCAACTTTATTTTTGGCAAGATAAGGACATTTTTAAAAACTGCCATTTATTACAATAATTTCATTTTAAAAATTTAATACCAAAAAAATAGTAAGGACAATCAAAGAACAGCTATTTTTTAGTCCTGGCCAGGTAACTCAGTTGGTTAGAGCTTCATCCCCATATATGAGGTTGCAAGTTCGATCCCTGGTCAGGACACATACGAGAATTAACCAATGAATGCATAAATAAGTTGATTTAAAAAAAAATCGATGTTTCACCTGGCCTCTGTGGCTCAGTGGTTGAGCATTCACCTATGAACCAGGTCACAGTTCAATTCTCTGTCAGGGAACAAGCCTGGGTTTTGGGCTTAATTCCCAGTAGGGGGCATGCGGGAGGCAGCCAATCAATCAATAATCCTCCTATTATTGACTAGAGGCCTGGTGCACAAAAATTTGTGCATTTGGCGTGGGGGGAGGGAGGGCCCTCAGCCCGGCCTGTGCCCTCTCACAGTCTGGGACCCTGTGGAGGATGACCACCTGCTGGCTTAGGCCTGCTTCCTGGGGGTTGGGCCTAAGCTGGCAATCAGACATCCCTCTGGCAGCCCGGCAGCCCTTGGGGGAT